TTTATTTAATTTATTTAATTTATTTAATTTATTTAATTTATTTGATTTATTTGATTTATTTAATTTATTTAATTTATTTAATCTGCTAAAACTAATTAATCTAAGTCTATATTCTAAATCTAATAGACAGAACAGGTAGAATAGGTAGAATAGATAAAACAAATAAAATAAATATAATAATTAAATTAAATAAACTAAAAAAAAAGGGTAAACAGGTAGAATAAGTAGACTAAAATAAAAAAAATATAATAGAAAAATTAAATTAAATAAAAAAAGTAGATAAAAATAGCTAAAATAAATAGTATAAATATATTAGTAGTATAATATTTTAATAAATACTAAAATATATATTTCTACTTTTCTTAAAATAGATAAATAATAAATATATAAGATTAACCTATTAATTTTTAGATAGTTATTTAGTACTTATTTAGTAGTTTTTTAAGAGTTCTAAGCAGTTCTGTACAGTTTTTTAGCAGTTTTTTAGCAGTCCCAAGCAGTTCCGCACAGTTTTTTAGCAGTTTTATACAGTCTTTTAGCAGTTCTAAGCAGTCCTATACAGTCTTTTGGCGGTTTTATACAGTTTTTTTAGCAGTCCTTTGGCGGTCCTAAGCAGTCCTATGCAGTCTTTTGGCGGTCTTATGCAGTCTTTTGGCGGTCCTTTGGCGGTTCTAAGCGGTCCCGCGCGGTCTTTTGGCAGTCTTATGTCTTTTGGCGGTCCTTTGGCGGTTCTAAGCGGTCCCGCGCGGTCTTTTGGCAGTCTTATGTCTTTTGGCGGTTCTTTGGCGGTCCCAAGCAGTCCCGCGCGGTCTTTTGGCGGTCTTATACGGTCTTTTGGCGGTCCCAAGCGGTCCCGTGCGGTCTTTTGGCGGTCTTATACAGTCTTTTGGCGGTTCTTTGGCGGTCCCAAGCAGTCCCATACAGTTTTTTAGCAGTTCTAAGCAGTTCTGTGTGATTTTTTAGCAGTCTTATACAGTTCTGTATAGTCTAAAGGCCTTTTTATAAATTCTAATAACTAATTAATAGTATAGTATTTTAAAATAAATAAAATATTAGTTTTAAATTTATTTTTCTACAAAATACCAGTAGTATTTTTTTTAATATTTAAAAAAGGCTAGTAAATCTTTTTCTTTTAAAAGTTTTTATAATTTTTTTTTTATTTTTTAGTTTTGGTTTACTAAAATATTACAATGTCAGCCTTTTTAGTTTTTAAATTATTATTTTTTATTAGTTTTTAAAAAATACTACAGCTAATAATCTCTTTTTTTTATATTTAATAATTTAATTAATTTAAAAAAGTATAAAATACTAATTTTTATTTTTATTCTAAGCTTTATATAACTAGTAGTTTTAATCCCACCTTTAAAAAATTTTAAATATATTAGTTTTTTAGTAAAAAAAAATATTTTATAAACTAAAATAGTAAATAAAGAATTTATAAAGTAGTAGTTAAAAACTAAGTATAAAAGTATAATTAAGTAGAATATTTTTAAGAAAAAATATTAGACTGGTTTTTAAAAGTACTTTTATTAAATTACAGCTGTTTATAATAAATTCTCTAAAATTAGATATAAAAATTATATTTATATTTTTATTTATTTTATTAATAAATATTAAAAATATTTATAATAAATTACTATTACTTATAGGCAGCTACCTATATGTGACGTTCGGACACTTAATATTTGTTATTGGCAATATTCTGCTGTTATCTGTTACCTCTACCCTTTATATATTCAGATACTTGAAATTTATTATTAGTAATATTCTACTGTTATCTATTGCCTCTGCCCTTTACACTGCCTGTGTAGTAGAACTTTCTACACTTTATATTTTTACTCTTCTAAACTTTTTTTTAACTTAATTATTATAATTAATAATATTATAAATTTTATTTATTACTATAGTAATTTTTATATATAGTAGTATATCTTCTGGCTATCCAGATATATATTTTATATACCTTTAAAAAAATACTACTATTTTTTATCTTTTTATATTTATTTTTTATTTTAGCTGTTATAGGTACTTTGCTTAATACTATTTTTTTATATTTTATATTATAAATTTTATTAGTTACTATAATTTCTGCTTTTTTAAATCTCTTACTCTACCTTTACTTGTAAATTACTTAATATATAGAATTCTATTCTAGTTACTTAATTTATGAAAACCTGCCCTAGTTACTTAACTAGCTTTATATATATATTTATCTTAATTTTACTTTATATAGAATTGCCCTTTACTATATTTTATTTTAAAATATTAGTATATTATATTCTAAACTGCTTTATTTTTTTTTATATTAATACTTTTTATTTACTTATGTTTATTATTTTATTTTTTCCAATTTCTACATTTATTTTTTATATTTTTAAAATTATATATATTATATTTGCAGATTCTGAACTAAGTATATTCTAATATTACTAATATTAAAACTTATTTATTAAATAGTATAATTTTATAAAAAATTACCCAGTGCATTTAAAAAATACCTTAATAAGAATATATTATATTATATTTACTATATTATATTTTTAATATCTGCTTTTTTATTTTTAAGATATTAATCTTATTTATAAGCTTAGAATATTAACTAATTTATTTTATATAAAAACTTTATTAATTTTTTTAATTAGTCTAATTACCTTTTTACTAATTAATTTTATATAAATTAAAGTTATAATTTCTACTTCTAGTATTTTTTAACAGCTTTATTAAGTCTAATAAACTGCTTAGTTATATATAATTATATCTAACTATTGTCAAGGAGCAGGCTGGCGTCTGGTTCTTAGACTGGCTGGGTAGTAGAAATAACAGCTTCTAGCTAAATAATTCTTTATAACTAGTTTTCTAAATTTTTTATTAGCTACTAAATTAGACTATTTTTAAATTTATAGATAGAATATAGTTTAAAAAGCTATAAACAGGATTAAAACTAGATAAGCAGTTAAAAAAATTATAGATTATATATAAAACAGTTAAAAAAGGCAGATAAATTAAATAAATTAAATAAATTAAATAAATTAAATAAATTAAATAAATTAAATAAATTAAATAAATTAAATAAATAGAATAGGTAAAATAGGTATATTAAATTTATACTATAACAGTATATCTTCTTTTTAAAGCTAAGCTTTATTAAAATATAAATTATAGTTTATTAAAATAATAGTAATAAAAGTTTTTAACTATTTAGTAAATATTTTTTAAATACTAGACTAATTTAGTAGCTAAATTTAAATATTTAATTTATTTTATAATATATATTAATTAAGGGCAACTGTATTTTTTATAATTTTATATAAAATTTAAAATATTTTTAACTTTTTATTTTTTTAAGCTGTTAATTTTTATATAAGGCAGTAAAGATTAGTACTAGTCTAAAACTAGTTTTTTACTAA